CCCAACCAGCTACTATGTTGTGGCTTCTACAAATTCCCTCAAAGTACCAAGGTATTTCTAGCAAACAAGGAATAAGATTTGTGTTGTTCATTTGCTGTCAGGTGGCACAAATCATCTTCAAATGTGGTCCTTACAGCCTTTACTCTTATGAGGTCTTTTATTGGAAATCAAAAGCCCTAAGTCATTTGGATTAAACAAGTAGTGCTTAAATGAAAAAAGCCAGCAATATAAGTTAGTTTTCCAGGAGAGGGGACATTCATGAAAAATCAACTGATGTTCTACTTATTAAAATATTTCACATCTTCCCCATGTCATTTTGTTTCGTTTCTGTATTATAATAAATTTTAAGTGTGTTTCCTCCATATGTGTACAAGGGTAATGTGCAAAAATTATTAAAATAATTCAAACATAACTACTCCAAATATGACATCAAGAGAAAGACATTTAGCAAAGACAATAGACATAAAAGAGACCTTGCTGTTAGTGCCCATTTTCTGTGGCACTGATGGTGACATTTCCAAAGAGAAGCAGTACAACCCAATTAACTTTGCTAATCTATATATGCCTTCCAGAAGAACAAAAAAGCCCACCCAACTCAGAAAGAAGAGTCCAGGAAATAGACACATGGCAAGAACATCAACAGTCAGACATGTGGAAGAAAATGAAAACACAGAGCATATTTCATGTACAGTATACATACTTATGTATGTGCATACGTATGACTTTAAAGATTTGCAATGAAACTACACTCTGAAATATTCAGTACCAATCTTGTATTGTATAATTCAGTTCCATTGTCTAGAGACTTCTCACAAAGAGAAGCCAGTGGTAAGTGCAAAAGACAGTGTGAGGAGAATGGAAGAAGGAGAAAGAGAAGAGTAGATGGGACTTTTAATAAACTTCTCAGTTAAATCCTCTTTATATTTTATAATGACAATGGAGCCAAAATACAAAACAGCAATAGCAGGAAAGGAACACAATCTTACAGAGGATGTGAATTCTTCTCCTTCTCCGTCCTGCTAACTACTACTAGTAGTACTGCATGCATAAACTACTTTCTTACATTCATTTAAAAATTGCAAGCTGCAAACACTCCATATGTTATTGTGATTAATATGTTTTTCAGGCATGACAGAACCCATGGATTAAATCCAGCTCCTACTGCGTGTATGTAAATAACATTTGTGCCTGACAATGATAGCCTAGTAAAACTCAGCAGTTCTTTCAAGATGTAGCTAAACAGAGCTATTGATTATTGATCTACATTCACATGCAACTTTACTTCCAGCAGACTAGAAATACATTTCTTGCAAAACATTTTTTTCAGGACACTGGGACTACCTTTACAATTTTTCTTAGCAGCACATATATTAATGTAGAAAAGCAATCTAGATACTACTTTTAACACTCACCTCTCTGCACTTCAAATGCAACATTTAATCGTAGAAAATCAATTAATGTATTTTATATATTTGTTGGGCTAAATATCTAAGGCCTTCATATCACTTTTCTTTTTTAAAAAAAACTATGGTTAGCTAACGAGGTGGCAGAGCTCTCTGACATGGACTGCACCCATTCCAGTCACACTTCAGCAGCAGTTTTTGCTGGCCAGAGTTCTCTGTAAATAGTGCCACACAGCAACAACTCAATGCTTCACAGATAAATACTCTTCTGGCCTACCACACTACCTTATGTGTTAAAGGAGATTACAACATACTGGCCCAAATTCCCATGCTTAGTTACCTGGCTTAGCACAAACGATGTAACTTTTGAGGGTGAATTGCTGCAAGTTAAGAAATCGCCATAGACATGATCAGTTACATACCGAGTTGTATGACATAGTGTGCAACTCATAACGCCTACAGCGATTTCTTAACTTGGAGCAATTCACACCATTCTTGTAGTTACTCAAGAGGATTCTCTCCTTCACGGATTACTGCCTTGTCATGGTGGCTTGAGTAATTCAGAGAAGCTATGGGCTAGGCCATGTAGGGACACCCAAGACAGACAGTTCATAGTGGAGAGTTCTCACTAAACACGATCCACCAGGAGCAGCAACTGGCAAGCCACTCCAGTATCTTAGCCAAGAAAACTCCATGGACAGAAACAAAAGGCTAAAAGATATGGCACTGGAAGATGAGCCCCTCAGGTCAGAAGGCATCCAACATGCTACTGAGGAAGAGCGGAGGACAAAGACAAGTAGCTCCAGAGCTAATGAAGTGGTTGGGCCAAAGCCGAAAGGACGCTCAGCTGCGGACCTGCCTGAAAGTGAAAGGAAAGTCCGATGCTGCAAAAAAAAAATACTGCATAGGAACCTGGAATGTAAGATCTGTGAACCTTGGTAAGCTGGATGTGGTCAAACAGGAGATGGCAAGAATCAACATTGACATCCTGGGTGTCAGTGAACTAAAATGGACAGGAATGGGCGGATTCAATTCAGACGCTTATCATATCTACTATTGTGGGCAAGAATTCCACAGAAGAAATAGAGTAGCCCTCATAGTCAACAAAAGAATGGGAAAAGCTATACTGGGATACAATCTCAAAAATGATAGAATGTTTGCAATACGAATCCAAGGCAGACCTTTCAACATCACAGTAATCCAAGTTCGTGCACCAACCATCCATGCTGAAAAGGCTGAAATTTACCAATTCTATGAAGACTTAGAATACAGTCAGCAAGAACAAGACCTAGAGCTGATTGTGGCTCTGGTTATCAGATTCTTATAGCAGAATTTAAGCTCAAACTGAAGAAAGTAGGAAACCCCACTGGGCTAGTCAGATATAATCTAAGCCAAATCCCTTATGAATACACAGTGGAAGTGAAGAACAGATTTAAGGAACTAGATCCGGTGGACAGAGTACCTGAAGAACTATGGATGGAGGCTGGTAACATTGTACAGGGGGCAGCAATGAAAAACATCCCAAACAATAGGAAATGCAAGAAAGCAAAGTGGCAGTCCACCAAGGCCTTCCAAATAGCAGAGAAGAGAAGGGAAACAAAATGCAAGGGAGATAGGGAAAGTTACAGAAAATTGAATGCTGACCTCCAAAGAATAGCAAAGAGAGACAAGAGGGCCTTCTTAGATGAACAGTGCAAAGAAATAGAGGAAAAGAATAGAAAGGGAAAAAACAGAAATCTGTTCAAAAAAATTGGAACTATTAAAGGAACATTATATACAAAGATGGACATGTTAAAGGACAAAAATGGTAGGGACCTCACAGAAGCAGAAGACATCAAGAAGAGGTGGCAAAAATACACAGAGGAATTATACCAGAAAGATCTGGATGTCTCGGAAAACCCAGATAGTGTGGTTGCTGACCTTGAGCCGGACATCCTGGGGAGTGAAGTCAAGTGGGCCCTAGAAAGCTTGGCTAACAACAAGGTTGGTGGAAGTGATGGCATTCCAGTTGAACAGAGTTCCAGAAAAACATCTACTTCTGCTTCATTGACTATGTTGACCACAAAAAACTATGTGAAGTTCTTAAAGAAATTGGAATGGCTGACTACCTTATCTACCTCCTGAGAAATCTATATGTAGGACAGGAAGCAATGGTTAGAACTAGATATGGAACAACTGATTGCTTCAAAATTGGGAAAGAAATACAACAAGGCTGTATATTGTTTCCCTGCTTATTTAACTTATACACGGAATACATCATACGAAACGCAGAACTGGATGAATCCCAAACCAGAATTAAGATTGCCACAAGAAATACAAGCTCAGATGTGCAAATGATACCACTCTAATGGCAGAAAGTGAAGAAGAATTAAAGAACCTCTTAATGAGGGTGAAAGAGGAGAGCGCCCAAAATGGTCTGAAGCTCAACATTAAAAAAAAAACTAATATCATGGCCACTGGTCCCATCACCTCCAGCCAAATAGAAGGGGAAGATATGGAGGCAGTGACTTTCTTGGGCTCCATGATCACTGTAGATGGTGACAGCAGCCACAAAATTCAAACATGCCTGCTTTTTGGGAGGAAAGCGATGACAAACCTAGACAGCATCTTAAAAAGCAGAGACATCACCTTGCCAGCAAAGGTCCGCATAGTCAAAGCTATGGTTTTTCCAGTAGCGATGTATGGAGGTGAGAGCTGGATCATAAAGAAAGCTGACCGCCTGATGCTTTTAAATTGTGGTGCTGGAGGAGACTCTTGAGAGTCCCCTGGACTGCAAGGAAACCAAACCTATCCTTTCTGAAGGAAATCAACCCGGAGTGCTCACTGGAAGGACAGATCGTGAAGCTGAGGCTCCAATACTTTGGCCATCTCATGAGAAGAGAAGACTCCCTGGAAAAGACCCTGATGTTGGGAAAGTGTGAAGGCAAGAGGAGAAGGGGATGACAGAGGTGAGATGGTTGGACGGTGTCATAGAAGCTACGAAGATGAATTTGACCAAACTCCAGGAGGCAGTGGAAGACAGGAGGGCGTGCTCTGGTCCATGGGGTCACGAAGAGTCGGACATGAGTTAATGACTAAACAACAACAAAGAGGATTCTGGCCAGTATTCACTTGTTAAGGTTTCTATTGCAGCTTTCTTCCAATCTGTTCTTGATGGCATACATGACTACTTTTCTCCTGAATTTATCTCCATAATGGCCCTCTGAGGCTGAGACCAGGGGGCTGACCTTAGGTTATGCAATGGGTTTCATGACTTGATAGGAACCTAAATCTCACAAGTCCCAATCCAGCATCCTAAATGAAGCATCATATGTACTGTAAAAATGTTTCTAATAAACAAACAAACAAACAAACCACTCTTCGAAAAAGAACTAAATCTCAACTTGTATTACCAGCAGTCAACAATGAAGTTAGTGACTCAAATTTTAAACACATTATATTCAAGTACGGATAAAAAGACGGAAAGATGTCAGATCACATTTTGTGAAATGTGAGGAAATCATTTGCCAAAATTTTGGAAATAAATTAAGGCATCAATGCCTCCTACCTTCAAAATTCAAAACTTGACAGAGTTACAAATTGCTCTGAATTCCCTACCTTTCTGTAAACAATCATGTTTGGGGAGCTCTCTTCTTGATCAGCAGCTTCCATGTCACTGGATGATCCCTGGGCCATGATGAACAGTTCTCTTCTCACGCAAGGCTGCAAAAGCAGGAACAATATTCAACAGAACATCCAGATAAACAGATGCAGGATGGCAAATTCCAAAACTAAATGCATCGGCACAGCAGGTGATGGGGGAAAATGTGCTCAGAATCCTCATTCATTATTGAATGCCTGTAAAGCATGCAGTGCAGAAATGTTTTGACCTGACTGTTGAACTAACCGACTGGCTATCCAGCCCTAAACATATTTACAAGCTCCCTGCATGATATTAAGTTCCAAGGCCTTTGCTACAGGCTTTGGTTTTCTTTATATGAGAAGACATAAGTGTTGTGGCACCTTAAAGACTAACTGCTACATTTTACTGCAAGCTTTCATGGTTATAAGTCCACTTCCTCAGACATAAGAGTGGGACTACATGGCAAATATTTTAGATTTACACATGGCTTCAAAACAAGGAGACTATTAGTTTCCTGGGCACAAGTTGTTGATAGTGCAGCGTTTCACATCTGGCAATGACCTTGAAGGCCCCTTTTGATATGCAATTCCCCTCCCAGGAAGCATTGCTGTGTAAACAATGGCAATGACTGGTGGCCAGGGTTGAGATAACAAGCAGGAACAACATGATAATTAATATCTCTAATCACCAATGGGGCTTGTAAGGTGGCATTAGATGAGATATCACTGCGGACAAGGTATTTTGCAATATTTGCTATATCTACAAGCCCTGCTGGCTTCCTGCCTTAGTGAACAGGCAGTTCAAAGCAAACCCCCAAATAGGATCTTCTGCAGCCTCTGTAAGCTGTAGCCACAGCATTCGCTTCCAAACAGTTGACAGTTCTTTCTGTCTTACCTAACATGTTCTTCCATCCCTTTTCTCAATCCCTGCTTGGCATTTCAGTCAAAATCATAGAGAAGTTACACCACATAAGAGAAGATCTCGATGTTGGATTTTTAACCAATAACCTACTTAACAAAAGCAACTACTGTAATCACTAGCAACCACAACTGTGTTTACTGACAGTAAGCTCCACTGAGTTGGGCAGGAGTTACCAGCACAGGGGACTGAACACTGCAGCCTGAGAGCGAGACCCAACAGGACCATCCCACCTCCACATGTTATTTTTCCTTGACTCCATGACAAGGGTGAGCAGACTACTGGTTAGTGGGACTGATGTTGGGTCTCTCTCTCTCCCCCCCCCCTCTTATCAGCACTGAGATCCATCAACCAGAGTCTGGTGCAAAATACATACAATTAAAAGGAAGGAATTGTAAAGCCAGGAATTCATTTCCTACACCAGAACAAAAGTTCACTCAGAACTTCTGCACACGAAAGCACTCCCAGTTTCTCCTAGCTTTCTTAATTTCAGCAGTATACTCTGCTGCAGTGGGGAAGTCATTTACGTTATAGTCAATTAAGGCATGTAAGCCGCCTAGAGTGGTCCGGTGGGCCAGATAGGCAGGGTATAAATAAATAAATAAATAAATAA